ATTGCACCTAGATTTCCTGCTCACCAGAAGAGCCCACCCCAAATGTATCTTACAGTCTTATCCCTCTGTGATCAATGTTCAGGGATCACCTTCCCTAACTGTGTAGTTAAAACAATGTCCCGCATGCTTTATGTTCATTGACATCAGACACACTGAATAGTTCACTTGTTTTGTGGCTTAATTTCCTGCCTCTTCTACTAGCAAGTGAGCATGGGAGGAAAACTTGGACAGTCCCCCATAAGTTAAAACACTACATTTGTTCAGTTTCTCAGAATAGAAATCATGGAGCTATTTTTACTTTCCTTGATCATTCATATTAAATATATCATCATTTTTGTTGAATTAAAATCCCCAAAATATCTTCTCTGTCATTTACATCCATTCTTCCTACATCTACATCATTACATGCAGCCAGCCATCTACTTATAGAGAGGAATGACAACAATAAAGCCTGAAACACAAATGCTTTATTGTATGTCTCATGTTTTCCTCTATTTCTAAACCTTTATTTACATATCAAGCAGACAGGTCCTTTCACAGCCTAGGCTGTGGTAAGTCAATGCCTTACCTAAAGAACTCCAGTGACATTCAAATTTGGTAAGAGAATCATTCAGGCCCTGTTATAGAAAGGCCTTTAATACCCTGGCTTCTGCTTATATCCCAACCCAATATGCTAATATTCCTGGTCTTACTTTAGAACAAGAAGTGTACCAGAAACCTTTCATTCTCAAAATCATACCAATCTATTGTCCACTTTTTCACATTTTATTTGCTTACTTGTTGAGTTGTTGGTGGTTTGTTTGCCCAACAGTAACTTTTCTCTTTACTCCTTACCCCTTCCCTCCTGGCACCCTTTGCTATCAACTTGACTTTCTCTGCCATCATTTCCATACAGACTAGATTCCTCTCCCAGTTTATTTTCTCTCATGATACTACTCAATTGTCTCACGGTGTTATAATTTACTCATTTTTATCTTTGCTCCTCCTATCTATTTTGCTTAGTTAGGAGTAAAGTAAATGAGGGCCAATTTTGGTTCCAAATCCTGTTATAGGAACCACATGTTACTCCTTTTATGTAACTCTGTATTTGCACACTGGTATAACAAAGGATTTAATGAATGACTCTGGAAATGAAGTTTTATCTTTCTGTTCCTCTATTTGAAATATTCATCCAATCTATCGTTATTAATTACAGTTTGACATTCAATTAATAAAACTGGTGCATGACATGGGAATTTTCAGACTGAGATACAGACCATCTGAAAATATCACTGTCAGGGAAAGACACCATGTTCACCTAAGTGAATATCAGTTTCCATGTTTTCTTCTCTATGTTAAATATTATTAAAAGTTTGTGATAAAAATATCTTATTTTTCTCTTATGGGTGTTGTAACTACTTATTTAACCTTAATCAAATAGCAAGATGTATTCAGAACAACCTGACTGTTAATAAACAGTATTATGCAAGGAAGCCCCAGAAATGGACATATCCAACAGCTGTATGACTAAAGATTTAAAGATTTGGTATGAGTTGTGACTTCATCAATTATTAGTTTCAGTTATTTTGAACAACTCAATAGAACTTCTCCCATGTCTAGCAGAGGGATGATGCCTGCCCTGAACTTCTGTTTCTGTAATAATCTTATTTAGTACCATACATGAAAATATTTTTAAGATCACAAAGACCTCCAGTAATATGAAGTTCTATGACACTAGGGAGTAACCTTGCAAAATCAGTGACAGTCTTTTGTTTCCATATCAGAAAGATTATGGAAGATGATCTAAAGCAACCACCTATATTAAAGTATTGATTATTTGGGATTAAGTACCCTCAAGAATATTATGTGTCCTTTAGATAAGAGAAAATGGGGAAGGACAGGATTCCTAAACTATCTTCCCGTGGCCAGCTATGTAGTCTTATAAAGCCATACAACTGTGTTCAAAGTGGACAAGAGACAGAAGGAATGACTTTCTACTTCCTTTGTGACAAAGTCAACTTGGTGGCACTTCTAAGCAGGAACAACTATGTCAGCATGATAGGAACTGACTCATCAGGAGCTGAAAGAGTTCTGCCCTTCAGAAGTCCATTCTAGCTTCTCTCAACTATCCTGCTCTTCTCACCTTTCCCCTTCCCTTCCCCTATGGGACAATGTGGAGGCAAGAGAGAGGAGCTCCTGGAGGGATAAAGAGAAGAGAACCATTTCAGTTCCCTTTATCTCCCCACTGCAAGCTGTGCTGCTGAGTTAAAAATACATAATTTGGTTTCCAAATCTATTTCAACCTCTGCCTGGCCTACTGAGTAGTCACAAACCATCCGATTTCAATTCACATCTTTGCTTTTAGCTTTATTTTAAATGGAACAGAGCTAAGTTGTATACACAGATAAAAAGTAAATGTCCCACAAAGAGCAGAAATGGGATTAAAGGAAGCAGGAAGTCAATCCATATTTACAGTGTACCTTGGTCAAAATCTGAATGGTTTTCATTTTATTTTTAAAATGCCAAACTTTCCACAAAGTATAAAATGTCATGTCACAGATGGGATGAAAGTTGTGGCATATAGAGTCATGTGATAACAGTAATGTTTCCATTTATTTTAAGTAGTTCACAATTAAAATTTCATTTAAACAGATAATCCGCATACTGCAGGTGATAATTACCATCCTTCTGTCACATTTGGAATACTACTTGTTTACAGAGAATGGCCCAATTCTGAAAAGCCAATTATCTGACCACAAATACACATGACAGAATGAAAAATACCCCTAATATTGTGTTTTGTGGTAACTTCATTAGTAATAATTACCGGGTAACACTCAATGTAGGATAACTGCAACCCTGCCCCATAAAGGTTTAAAAAGATGGCCAGGTAAGTGATGCAGATCACTCAGCAATGTCAAGTGAGATAACTGGCAATGGCCTTGAGACATTTAGCAGCATTGTAGTTGACCCAAATCTAGCATTCATGTCAGGGTCTACACAGTGCTATGGGGGAGAGAACATGGTAAAAATGCTCCTTGTAGCAGATTCCTTTCTTCCTTTTTTATTATAAGTTGTCTTACAGCCAAGAGAACATATTTTTACTTTCAACACTTACTAATAAAGTCATATAGATCCAGCTATAAATTGTGCTTCATTTATGAATATTTAAACTACATATTTTTCTTACTTTTATATTTGAAATGTGAAGTTTAAAACTCTTCTGGGAAGATAAAGCCTCTTTTATTGACATAATACAGATTCAAGTGGTATCACACCATCTAAAGCATTCGCCACAAAACTATTTTTGACCTGAAATGATAATTTCCTCCTCACTTATGAGAGCTCATACATTGACAAATGATTCACTTCTCTAATGAAGTCTCTTTTCAGATTTGCATGAAGGCAAATGTAGTGTAGGCAACCTATACCTGGAGAGACAACATGGAAAACAAAATCAGGAGAAACTTCCATCTTTCCATCTACCTTTATCACTGTCAATATACAGACACCAAAGAAATACTCTCACTTCTCATTTGCCATCAAATCCAGAAAGGAAATGGGTTGGAATGCAGGAGAGCAGATGGCAGCCTATCTCTACCATGCTATGTGCCCCATCAGATCCTCTCTTGTCTATAATGCCCTCATCTGTCTGGTCCTCCTGAGTCCCATCTCCCTATTGTATCCGAGTCTACTTTATCCCACAATTCTTTCTCACTCTGTCCGCAGTCCTTCTACCTCATATCCCATGTGTTCACCACTCCGGGATCCTATTTTATCTCTTCTCCCACTCTCTCCCTCCTCCACAGCCTCAATTGAAGGCAGAGAGCACCGCCCCCTCCCCAATGCTTTAAGTTCACCTTTTACTCATCACTTGACTCAATGTGGGACATATCCCAGTCTACTGGCATTGTCCTGTAAACACAAAATACCACCTGGAGTCAAATACATAAACTCAATTTGAATCAGCCTAACTTTCCAAATCTGTCAAATGGGGATAGCAACAGCTTCTTGGAGTTGCTGTGAAAGTTAAGAATAATGTATGTCAAAATACTGGTCTAGTTAAACTTAGTTAAATAAACAATAATAATGGTTGTTACTGCTCCCATTCCTATCATTACAAGAACTTTTGCAACTTTAAGTCTGAGGCCATCTTGTTTAACACATTTACAGTAGAAAGAGCAGGGACTTTGCATTCAGAAGTGTGAGCCAAGCAGGATCTTAACAAGTTACTTTTCCCTGATGAACTGGACTGCTGGGATGTCTGAGGTGAATTCTGATTTTGGTGCACCCAATGCCTAGAACCAATCTTGCCATATAGATACCTATCGAAGATACAAAGGAAATATGGTAAGAGAACAAAGTGCTGTGAATGTGTCTCTCTCTTAAGCACTTTACAGATACAGAGGAAATAAAGCTAAACCCTTCCGAAGCACTAGAGGAGAAATGTGAGAGACCAGCACCCCAAAGGAAGTGAGAAGATAGTAGGAAAGGCTGGGTTACCCAGCAGAATAGCCAGATTCAGCTTCATGCCCCAGATTCCTGTCCTAGGGGGAACACAGGCTGAACCTTTGGCAGAGGGAGGGCCATGTGGGAGGACAGGAGACCTGAGGCCAGCTGCCTCAGGTGCAACAATGTACCTGTGCAAAGTGGACACACTCCAGGAGAGAAACTCCATACTCAAGCTTACAGAAGCCAGGCAGCCACAGTGTAGCAGCTGAGTTCGTTTTTTACTTTCCAGTCTCCCCCACCCTACAGTCAGGTCTCAGGAGGTAATTAGTGTGGGGGAAGCCAAACTCCTGAGGGGGCAGGGAGATGGGAAAGTACAGTGGAGGCGGTCTTCTTGTCATAGGTCTCACTGAGGAAGGGGAAGAGAGGAACGGGGTGGGGGGAGGCGCTTCAGAGAATGACTGGTTTTCATTTTTGCACGTGAGGCGTACCTAATGATATTTCCACAAATAGACAAGCAGACCAGAGACGGACACACAGAGCACACGTGCGTGTTTTGAAACAATCCGTACCCCCAAATCCAGGACGCAGCCTGTTGTCATAACCATCCAGCAAACTGTCCAGGATACGGGTAAAATTTTCGGGGCACAATTTCTCGTCCTTTGCGTTCTGTCCTGGGGATTCGTTTAAACTGCAAGTGCAAAAAATAAAAAATAAAAAAATAACGGGGGTGGAACAGACTATTTTAAGAATGAATCTGAGAACAGGTGGAAAAGGGGTTGCCTTCTAGGGAAAAGAGTCGCTGGCCTTAAGCTAAAGGAGTGTTGGGGGTTGGGATGTGGAGAACCAAGATGGTCAGGAAAAGCGCACCTCTGCGCAACACTCACCCCAGTCTGCAAGTACCCTAAGGCAGCATGTACCCCAGAACCCGCGCTTCCTGCTCTCGACTGCCCAGGGCTCTCCAAGTCTAATCGGTCAATGGAAAGCTTGGCTTCAGCCCATAGGAGCTTCAGCCCATATATGACACTGATCTGATTCGCTCGGGGAAGGATGAGTGGCCAGAGGGGTGCTGTGGGTCAGGACACTTGTCCACCTTTCCCATGCACCCCTACCCTACGACACCCTCCGACCCACCACCCACCCCAGAACTCACCAAGCCATCAGGCACAGGAAGTGCAGGAGGGCAAGGCTGACCCCGGAGCACAGGGCGATCGCGGGCACCTTCTGGACAGAAACCATCTTCGCAACATGCCATACTTTAAGCCTGTTCACGTTTCCAGGCTTTCGAGATGCCCTGTGCAGGGTGCAAGGAGAGGGCAGAGTGGCTCCCGCGGCG